TGTTTAATTAGACACTAATTAGATAGGACATTTTAAAAATCTATATTTCTAATTTCTAGCTTTTCTTTAAAACTCAGAAAACTGAGTCATTCTGGTCTACATCCTGGGTATTGGGATCGGGTGCATCTGCTCTGTGGAGGACCCAGCTTCCCAGCTGGCCAGGGTCTGCCCAGAGTCTGGTCACCATCCCAGCCCACCTCCCTTAGACAGAGCTGAGGCAGCTTCTAAGCATGAGATGCCAGGAAATGTGAATCAAAAAATGCTTTGTTAACAAAACTGTTATTTATCATTGGTAGTCACGTTTAGGTATTACAAAACATACTCTTGGTTGAATGCTAAACGCTAGTGGTCAAAACACTGGCTGGGGCTAAAAGATTTGGGTGTAAGTAGGGGCTTACTCTTGGACAGGTAAATGTCTTCTGTAGGGCTCCATGGCTCTGAGATCAAGGGTATTCTCCTCTGTGATTGGGGCTCATCCTCATGTTGTGGAAATGACTGCAGTGGCTCCGGACCTCACATCCTGGCAGGAAAGGACAAAAACCTCCCTGGTTCAGGGCTTGGCTAGTGCCTCAGTCAGAGCTCATCAGAAGCACCACTCCCCTCTCAGACTGAGTGGGAGACCCAGCCTGTGTGATGACACCAAATAGAGACTGGGGTCTGTTGTACTGCAAAGAAGGGGACTTGAGACTGGACAGCCCCTGTGATGTGCTGTGTAACTGAGGCTGCTTCATTTCACATTTATAGAAGAGAAAGTCGAGGCTTAGAGAATGCAAGATGGCTTGCCCAAGGTTATGGTTGGTAAGTGGGAGATAGAGCCAGAGTCAGAACTTGGACCTGCTGATTTCTTGCCCGGAAGCCTGCTTAGTCCCTTCTGCCCCACCTCTGTCCCTGTGGAGCCCATGAATCACTTTCCTCCTGGTGTTTGTCGCACCTGGGTCTTAATCATTCTGAGCTCATTTGAGGGCTTGAGCAGGGCAGGCACCTGTGGGTGGGTGCGTGGGATGCCTGCACAGGATTCAGCAGGGTGCCAGCCAGGGGCATCTGGGTCAGGCAGCTCCTATGTCCAGCGAGCCCCTTCTCAGAGCCACCCAAGTCATGCTTTGATGGGATTTGCACCTATTTTAATTCCTGCCAGCACAAAACCTTGCATGTCCTGCACACATATTTCACTCTTCTGGCAGCAAATTTCGATGTCCAAATACTTGCATGGCCATCTCCTTCCATGTTGGGCAGTCAGTCTGGCCCTAGACACCTGTGGGCTGGGGAGATTGCCAGGATCACCTCTCACCCGTGCTCCTTGAGAGGTCTGAACCTCATGGCAAGGGCAGTGGACGTCTACAGGCTGGAGGGTGGGGGTGATGAGTGCTGTGAGCTAGGGAAGGGCAGGGCCAGGGGGCTGGTGGGGCAGGGCAGGCCAATCAGATGAAACCGTCTACAGGGTGACTCACCAGAGCTCCCTCCTTCTGTGCTACTTACTGTCCAGGCCACTTGAAGAAAAATCGCTTCTGATCTTTACTAGCAGGATGTGGGGACGACAAATCTGGTATGCAGGTTTGGGGCCAGAAAATGTTGATTTCCTCCAGTAAATATATCACATCTGGAACTGTTAGCATTACTATTTATTAAGTTTGCAACAATCTATTGTCATTCTCCAGCAACCATCTGTCTTGGCATCAGCTGCACAGGTGAGCTATGCAGAGAGGTAGTGGAACTCCTGTCCTTTGTCTTTTATATTTACCCTGTTTCCTGAGGTAGACTCTTTGCTGAAGCCCCAAGTTTCCATCTGGTAGCCTTCCCAGGCAGATGAGCTTCCTTCAGTAATCATGTGGTTCAGATCTACTGGTAACGAAGTCTGGTTTTATTTAATCTGAAAATGTCTTTCCTCAGTCTAAGGATATTTTCTTTGGATCTAGAATTCGAGGTTACCAGTCTTGTCTCTGCACTCTTTAAGGTTAGGATCCCACTATTTCCTGGCCTCCATCATTTATAACTAGAAGGAAGCAGGGTAAAGTTGCTGTGCCTCGGATGTGAGGTGTGGTTTCTCTCTGGATGCTTTCAAGATTCTTTGACTTTGAGCAGTTTGACCCTGGGTGCAGTTTTCTTTGTGTTTATCTTGCTTGCGGTTCACTGAATTTTTTGAATCTGTCAGTTTGTGTCTTTCAATTTTGTACCTTCTGATATCATCTTACATATCCTCAAAGCTTTAGTCTAACCTTTGTTCCTCTCTGTTTTGTTTGAATAAGGTTTTTTAAAATTAAGTAGCTTAAACGCCCACCAACCCAGGAATGGATTAACAAGCTGTGGTATGTGTATACCATGGAATACTATTCAGCCATTAAAAAGATGGAGACTTTACATATTTTGTATTAACCTGGATTGAGTTGGAACACATTCTTCTTAGTAAAGCATCACAAGAACGGAGAAGCAAGAAGCCAATGTACTCAATTCTAATATGAAGGCAGTAGATGAGCTAATACAAGGGGGGGGTTTAGAGGAATGAGGGATGGGGAGAGGGAGGGGAAGTGGGGGTCATGGTGTATGGCACATCTCTCAAAGGTGGGACACATAAGAGGGACTTTATCTGGCAAATGCAATCAGTGTAATCTAATTCTTTGTACCCTCCCTGAATCCCAAAAGATATAAAGGAGAAATTTTAGAATAGTGTTAATATAAAATATGATGAAGAAAATGTTTGGTAATAATAAAATGTGATTTGAAATGGGAAAAGATTAAAAAAATTAAGTACCTTTCTGGAGTAGAAATGGTATTTGTTACATGGGTGAATTGCATAGTGGTGAAGTCAAGGCTTTAATATACTCATCACCTGCAGGGTGTATGTTGTACCCAGTAGGTAATTTTCCCTCATCTTCCCACCCTCCCCCTTCTGAGTCTCTCCAGCGTCCATTAAGTCACTCTGTATGACCAAGCATGCCCACTGCTCAGTTCCCACTTCAACCAAGGCAGGGCTTTGGTTTCAGATTGGACAGTTTTCATCAATAGGAAAGTGGAAAGAGCGCACAGTAGATCTCTCCACTTTTTCTGGCCTGACTCCAATACTGTCGTGTCATGTCATCTCTCCTTTTGTAAAGACCAAGGGACTTGTGAGGGGACAGAACTCAGTGGCATCTGGGGGAGTGGTATTAAGGGCCAGAGAGGGTGAGAAGACCTTTCATAGGCAAATGTGTGATGTCACTTCTCTAGTGAGAGTTTGGTCCAGGGGCAAGTGGGTCTGGCCCGGTATGCATGAGGGAGGGACACGGGCAGACTGAGCCTTGAGTGAGAAAGCCCTGGTGGAGAAGTATAGGCTGGAGCAGTCAGTGGGGCCTCCTGCAGAGATAGTGATGGTAGGGGTGGAGGTCTTGAGGTCTGATGGGGCCCCACTGTGGATCAGGCCCAGGGCTAAGTGCTGTCTGGTCTTAGCAGAGCCATAGAACAGTCCCACCTGGGAACTATTATTGTCCCATATGACAGATTCAAAAAACCTGAAGCCCACAGTAATGCAGCTGGTTAAGTGATCATGAGCATGTGGCTTAGGGTCACATTAAGGATACCTTTCTTGATGGGACAGGAGTTTAGATGTTGGAAGATCAGGCTTATCTTCTAACTTCTCAGTCCAAATACTGTCCATGATCCAGGTTCTTTGTGGGCAGTATTTGTCCCAGAACTTGAACTAGAACCTACCAAATCCTGTGTTCCTCTGTCGTACTGGGCATGCTTTCCCCTGGCTCTGACATTATCCCTGACAGGCTGGGGGCTCTGCAACCCCCCCCTTCCAGCACCATGGTCCTCATTTTGAATGTAGGAAACAGGCTTGACTTAGCTGCGGTAGAGGGTCAATGGAGTCACAAAGAGAGTTTCAGAAGTACTGATGTGGCCGTTAAGGATGGTTTCCTTTCCTCCATTAAGGCTACGTCCATGTAGTGGTAGAAATTTATATATTTCTTTATTAAAGAAATATCTCACTTTCTAGGTGCAGGGAATAGTGCACACAGCACTGACATCTCACTCCACCCTTACCTTTCTTGATTCAAAGTCTCTGCTTTTAAGCCTCATTCTTGGTGGTTGGAAACTCTGGGCTCAAATCCCAAATCTGAAGAAATCAAGTCACCCTGCTAGTTTTCTTGGTGGAGTTGGCACCATTATGTCTGCTTTATAGGGTTGTTTTGAGGTTAGAATGAAAAGATTTAGCACAGTGCCAGGTATGTGACAGAATTCTAATTCCTTGATTCTTGGTGGCAGTCCATGGTGGGCATGAATAATTTTCTCGCTTGGGCTTGGTGCCTCAGTAGTGAATATGTTCTTTCTTTAAAAACTTAGCATTACTCTGAGACAACAGTGGGATGCCACCCAAATCCCTCTAAACCGAATCACAAGGGATATTTTATTGGTTCTCCCCTGTTCTCTCCCCCTGCTGCAATGCCCCACCCAATTCTGCCCCAACCCTCATGTGACTTTTTTTTTTTTTTTGAGACAGAGTCTCATTCTGTCATCCTAGGTAGAGTGCCATAGTATCATCATAGCTCACAGCAACCTCCAACTCTTGGGCTCAAACAATCCTCCTGCCTCAACTTCCTGGGTAACAGGAACTACAGGCACCAGTCACCATGCCTGGCTAATTTTTCTATTTTTATTAGAGATGGGGTCTTGCTCTAGCTCAGTCTGGTCTTGAACTCCTGAGGACCCACCTCCCAGAGTGCTGGGATAACAGCTGAGCGTAACCCACTGCTGACTCTTTCTGATTGGTTCTCCCTGGTTTTCTTCCCTGCTGACTCTTTCTGATTGGTTCTCCCTGGTTTTCTTCCCTGCTGACTCTTCTGATTGGTTCTCCCTGGTTTTCTTCCCTGCTGACTCTTCTGATTGGTTCTCCCTGGTTTTCTTCCCCTCCCTCCGGGACCTGGGCATGCCCTGACTCCCCTCCCACATACACCAGAATGTCCGGCATGCATGCCCACCCTGAGCCCTCTGCTCACCTGTTTTTCCTGTCCTTCTCATCCCCCCAGGTTACGGACATGCTGCCCCTGGCACTGACGCAGGCAAGGCCTTCTGCATGTTCTATGCCGTGCTGGGCATCCCGCTGACGCTGGTCATGTTCCAGAGCCTGGGCGAGCGCATGAACACCTTCGTGCGCTACCTGCTGAAGCGCATTAAGAAGTGCTGCGGCATGCGCAACACCGAGGTGTCCATGGAGAACATGGTGACCGTCGGCTTCTTCTCCTGCATGGGCACGCTGTGCATCGGGGCCGCCGCCTTCTCCCAGTGCGAGGAGTGGAGCTTCTTCCACGCCTACTACTACTGCTTTATCACCTTGACCACCATCGGGTTCGGGGACTACGTAGCCCTGCAGAGCAAGGGGGCTCTGCAGAGAAAGCCGCTCTACGTGGCCTTCAGCTTCATGTACATCCTGGTGGGGCTGACGGTCATCGGGGCTTTCCTCAACCTGGTGGTTCTCCGCTTCTTGACCATGAATGGCGATGAAGAGGAGCAGGACCTTGAAGGCAGAGCAGCCCTACCCGAGGGAAATGGAGAGCGCCCCGGCGGCCGTGGCCGCAGGGAGCGACGGTCGGCCAGGTCCAGGTACAAGGCGAACATCGCAGATCTGCTGTCTGTGTGCACCTGCTCGTGCTACCGCCCGCGGGATGCTGGTGGTGACCCCCCTGAGGAGGTGGAGGTGCCGCAGAACTCCAACAGTGCCAAGCCCCCCAATTCCTTACAACCCATCTCTTTCCAGATGGAGGAGATCTCTCCAAGCACATTAAAACACGGCCTCTTTCCATCCCCCATTAGCTCCGTCTCTCCCGGGCTGCACAGCTTTAACGACCACAACAGGCTGATGAGACGCCGCAAGTCTATTTAGGCTTGGGAGGGCGGCAGGAAAGTCATTGTCATGGTCGACATTCAGTTCCACCGGTCCAACTCGTCTTTTCTTTCTTATTTATTTATTATTATCCTTTATTATTATTGTCATCATTTCTTTCTCTCCTTTCTTGGTCTCTTGGTCTCATTTTCTCCCCACCTCTTTAGCTAGACAGAGCAGGCCAAAGGGAAGAGAAAGGCCCGTCCTCCTTGGAAACTCGCCTCTGAGCGTGAAGCTGGATGTCTTCCCTTCTGCCCCCAAGAGCATGCCTTATATCTCCCGACCTGCCCACCTCTGCGGTGGCTTTCCCAAGACCACAGAGGCAGAGCGGAGAGATCCCCAGCCCAAAGTCACACCTAGCTGGGAGTCTGCACTGCCCCCCACAGGGGTCTCTGACTGGACTCCTCCCCCCAGGACTGCATGACTGTGCCTGTGTGGTGTGAGAGTGTGTGTGCTTGTGTGTGCGTGTAATGTGACAAAATAGAAAGTAGTAGCAAGTTTTCTTTCCCATTACACGATTATGCCTTAGCCTGCTTTGGCTGCCTCCAAATGAAAAAGAAAAAGAAAAAAACCACCCCCCACCAAATTGAAAAAAACAGAAAAGCACCATGAGGTTTTTGATGTATTGTGTTGCCAAATCAAGCACGTTTCACAGACAGTCCTTATCCCAGATATGTCCTGATTATATTTTTTAAATGCTAGGTTCTAAATTAACTTTTTTTAGGGAGTGGGCAGACAAGTGAACCTGGATCCTTTTAGGCTTGCCAGTTCAAACATTTTTAACAAACACACACTTCATTAAACTGATATGCCATTATCAACACAAGAAAACAAAAGTAACAGTGGAATAATCAAAAGTCAACACTATTAATTTATCGAAAACTTTTTAATTTCATCATCTCCACTTCCAACAATTTACCATGAAACTGGAATTGTCAGGAGAAACTGGAAAGTTGTTGGAACCACAGAGTGTATTCCCTCTCACTGATGGCAGTTCTGTGCGGCGTCTGCCTGCATGAATAAGAATTACAGTTTTGGAATGCTTGGAAGAGAATGGGCATTAGTATGTGGATGTGGTTTATTTTCCTAATGAGACATGACAGGGCGTTCCTCATTAAAATTCATATATATATTTCAAGAAAGAGTGTCTCTAGTTGCATTTATTTGTAAATAGGAGAAAGTTCATGTTGGTCTCAGGAAGAGTTTAGAGGCAAGGATCTGTGTCTTGGTCTACTGGGAACTTGCCGATCTCAGGGGACAATTTTGTCTGAGCAGTAAAGAAGTTCTTCCTCACACTGAATAGGGGATTGCCCCCAAGGGAAGAGCTGCTAACCTCATGAGAGCAGTTTAGCTTGTAGAATATAGTACATAGGAGGGCCTTAGGGTGGCAGGAATAAAGGACAGTTTGACCTCCCACTTCCCAGAGGGGACTTTAATTTCCCTCATTACCATCTCTGCCATTTCTACAAATCACCCATCCACCCATCCTCCCATTCCCCCTTTCCGTAAGCTGGAAGTTCATGGCTCTTGGACGGAAATGGACTTTGGCTGTACTACTCAGAAGGAGCACGTTCACGGGCCTGTCTCAAGGCCGCGGCGGCATCTCCCAGAAAGGAGGCTTTGCTCCCTAGAAAGAGTAGACCGAGAGGATTTCTTAAGAGACAGCACCCGAACGCTATCTTGGCCACTGGGCTGAACCACAGGAGCACTCAAGACTCCTCTGAGAAGGCTGTGCATGCACTTTAATGCTACACCCCTTGTTGAAACCCCCCCTTCGTCTAAAACTCAGGGCCTTCGAAGGAGTCTGCGAACCTCAGATTCTCTAGGCCAAAGTTGACAGTTCTCAACTGGAAAGGTCTTTATCAATTTACTCATTTTAAGATTTTGTTTTGTGGAATGCCCTGTGCAGGCCCTGGAGTGTGTCCAGAGAATAGAAGCAGCCCTTCTTTTTATGTGCATTTTTCTCTTTGAAGAGCTGGCTGCTTGGCGGTTTGGAGGAGGCTGCCTGGGATAAACGTGGGGGCTCTCCTGAAGACCTTCGTAAGATGTGGCCTCAGATGGGGGGTGGGGGTGTGATCTTTGATCTATTAATGTCACTGAAGATGAGTGATTTGTTCAATGTCGCAGAGCTGGTCCTTGATAGAACTGAGACAGGTGTCTCAGTCTGGAGTCCAGGAGGGGCCAAGGAGCCATCACCACCACACCAAGGTGGGCCGACTCAGCTCTCAGATGAGGGAGCCTGCTCTGTTTCCCCACAGGGGCAGGCACCAGGCCCTGGAGGGAGCTGGGGGACAGCCGGGTGGGACAATGGCTCAATCTTCATACAGAGCTGGTTCCCCCACTGAAATGTCTGCATATGGTGGTCACATGGGCCAACTTCTGCTTGAACGCTTAAGGTAACAAGGAGCTCCTCTCTTTGCAGGAAATATGGAAAACACCATTTTCACAGAGTTGACTTTTAAAAAATAGGATTAAGGATGAAGTCTTTTCTCATGTGATGACCATTGTCCAAGGGGTGTAGGCAACTTGCAGTTGGTCTTGACTCTATTTTCCTCCTGTCTTCTGCTCTTTGCTACTAGGTCAGCCCACTGAAGGGTGACCATTGAGTCTCTGTTCTGAAGTTAAACATCCTTTTTTATGCTCAAAGTGTTTAGGGCATGGAGTGAACCTTGGCTTTCTTCTCTTGCGATGGTCATCTTCTCCGATAGTCCATCTGTTCCCTAATCTGTGGTCTCTGGCCAAGAAGTTCTTATCCAAGTACTCCTGGGGCAGGGGCCGAGTTGAGGATGTCCAGGGGGTCTTCTCTCTTGATGAAACAGATCTCTGATAAGGTCTCCATTACTCATAATCATTAGAATCAACTCCCTCATTTTCAGGGAAGGCAACTGAGGCTCAGAGAGTAACCTCCTGCTTAAGGCCACACAGCCAGACCATCTCTTCTCACTTGTTTCCCTCTCCCATTTCCCAGGCTGTGAACAGCAATGACAAGAGATCCCTTGTTGCTGGACTTTTCAGTATCTTAGGCCCAAATCTCTCTTCCTCCCTCTGGCACCTGGTGATTTTTCAGCCAGGTGATTAACTTTCTTCCAGTTAACCATGCCCATTCAGCAAAGAAGAAATCCCTCCAGGTGGTTTGGATGGAAGACTCACCTTCCATTCCAATGAGCTCAGGGAGAGCTACATGCCTGAATCACAGGCAGCTGGCCCACTGGCCAGTCCCTACAAGCCAACATGCCGTGTAGGGACCTAGATTTCTGACTCTGACCTGGCCCCTTTCAGCTGGGCTTGCAGTCTTCATTGTTCCTCTCTCTCAGAGACCAAAGGAAGGTGGCCAGGGGTACTGACTGTCCCTGCAGTCCCTGGACCCAGTGTTCTCTAGAGACTGTCCCACTTTAATCTTCATCACACTCATCCTGGGTGGAAGGTGCTGTCTTGGCCTGTTCAACTTGACTTTTGTTTTCCTTTCTTATTGGGGAGTGAACCAAGTATCTCTCCAGGTCTTGAAATACCTGGTCAGCCCTAGAGCTGGGATCAGATCTGTTCTTTCTGCCTTCACTGCTCTGTGAAGCCAAGGCAGTGGTGTTTTAAGCAGCACAGCTGCCTGATACTCCAAATTTAAACTTGCTCTCTGAGGCATCTGTGTGTATCCATGGTGCAGGGCATGATCACAGTAGGTCATCTGCAGCCTAGGAGTCCTCCTGGGTCCATCATCCTTCCAGGAGAGAAAGCAAATGGACACAGATTGTTTCCCCAGGAGCCTCCTTGGGAGGTGCTCACTAAAGTCCCATGCACAAGAAGGTGGAGACTGATTGATCCTGGCTCATCGTTCTCTGTGCCAGGGCTTTGAGAGAACATCTGGACAGTGACTAAGACGTGGACAGATGAGCCTTGGCAGGTCATTTTTCTCTGCCTCATCCATTTCTGAAAGTCTTGTGGGTCCTGATTCTCAGTGCCCATCCCCTGCATCTGGAAGCTGGAGATAGTTATTTTGGAGGCCTCCACTGTCTGCGGGCAGTCAGGGGGAGAAGGGGGTAAGAGCAGAAAATGATCACAGAAGGAAAATGACCCATCACTAAGGTTTATGGCCCCATTTCTTTTTATAGAATTTTTCTTTTTAAAATAGGCCCTGAGATACCCACTAAGAGACTCCAGGTGAAGTGGGAGGCGTGTGCTGGGATGTGTCTGTCCTATCAGCAGGATGGATGCTGTCACCTGTGACATGCTCGGTGTTCTCAAAGTGCCTGGCTTGTGTGGGCCAGCTTCTGGGGGGTCTGAAGTGTGCTTCTAGCAGAGTCATGGTCTTCTCAGGGCTCTGGGAGTGACCTAGGGGAGGAAGGGGTGGTGGGACTCTTGCTGTCCTGTCTGGCTCCACTGAGCTCCTGGAAGTCGTTTGACCCCAGGGCCTCCATTGCTTCCTCACCAGCACAATGGGGCAGGGGGAAGGTCCAGGCACTCAGCACAGTGTGAGTGCACTCCACAAAGGCATCGGGCCTGGACGCTCTGACCACTGGGCACATTCAAAGGTTGAGCCACCAAAAAGTAAGCCAAAGTTGTCAGATTGGCAGGGAACGGGGAACTGGGAAGATGTAAAGAAATGAGCAACAGCAGAGAGAACGGTGGGCATCGGCACCCGGACCAGGTCGGTTCCTCCTACCCTTCAGCCGGGATCCCCACTATGCAGTTCTTTCTAACCACACCTTGATAGAGGCTGCTGATTCAGGAAGACAATCTAGGGCCGTGATTCCCCCAGACTTTCTATTCTGAAAAGTTTAGAATTATAGAGCAATGTTGGAAGAACAGTCCGAGGAGCTTCCCTAACCTGCCATGCAGACCCCTAGCTTCGTCTGATGCCACTTTCCCTTAACCCCCTCCCCCACTCCCGCCTTCCCACACTCACATGCAGATTTGGAGAACAGAGTGTGATGTCTGCAACTTTTAGGTGGTTCAGCCAAAGCAAAAAATTATCTGCCATGAACGAGCACATTCTCCTACATAGTAGT